CGCCTCAGGCGGAAAGAGGACGCTCATCAGGGATATCCTCAAGACCTCACTGGCAAAATGCAGTATTCCCACAGACACCTGGGAATCACTGGCCCAAGACGGCCCAAAGTGAAGGAGAAGCCTCCAGGAAGGCGTTGAGTACCTTGAGACTTGCTGTTGAGCGGAAGCCGGGCAAAAACAGAATAAGGATTGCATTGCCACACTAATGCTCCACCCAGCCCTCCCTGAGACCACCACCTGTCCCGAGTGTAACAGAGACTGCAGAAGCTGCATTGGTCTGTACAGACTCACCTACGGACTCACCCTGAGAGTAGAAGAAAGTCAACTTCATCTGCAAGGGACCACCAATGATGACGTTGCCTTTTTCAACCCTCAGCTCTGAAATATCAACTCTAGATCTCTCTACCACCTTGATCTAAGTCAGTCCTTAAAATCTATTTCTTCCACCAGGCTCTTGGTCACCAGTCCCACTGACTTCATAGATAACACAGTGTGGAGCTGGAGGAACACAGCGGGTCAGGTAGCATCAGAGGAGCAGGAAAGCTGAAGCTTCGGGTCGAGAACCTTCTTCAGAAAATTTTCTGAAAAAGGGTCCTGACCCAAAATGTCAGCTTTCCCTCTCCCCTGGTGCTGCCTGGCCTGTTGTGTTCCTCCAGCTCCACACTGTGTTATCTCTGACTCCAGCATCGGCAGTTCTTACTATCTCCCACTGACTTCATTGTTGGTTTCATTGGCAGTTTTTCTCTGATTACACTCCAGAGTAATTGCTCAAGATGTTTAACTAGATTTTTAAAATTTTACAAATCAATTTGTTGCTGTTCTTGAGTATGATAAGTGTTCTTCAGTCCTGGTTTCCGGTCATAAATATCCCTTTCTTGCCATGTAAGAATGTAATGTTGGAATATCACTATGTCTTGTGTGTATTTTGGTAAATATCACACCTGGTCAATGCCTGACTCCAGAGCATGTTTGTAACACTCAATGCAGTTGAATTACCTGGTAACGATGTAATGCTGTCTATTAGGCCATTTGCCGAAAGCTTTTCATTATGGTATTTGAGTAGTTGAATGTGATAGCCATTTAACAGTTGCAGAATAGTGGAACCTTGATATACAAAGGAAATGACAGACTTTTTTCCTCACTAAACAAAAAGTTACATTTTCAAATCCCATTTCAGTGGTCCATTCACAAAGGTTGACACTCCAATGCAGTACTGAGCTGAGATGTTAAATCAAGGTCCTATCTACCTTCTCAAGCAGAAATAAAAGATTTCATGGCACAATGTGGAGACAGTGAATTAATATAATGAAAACAGGTTATCTTTCATTTTAATACTGCTCTTTGTGAGATATTATGGTGAGCAAATTTGATGCCACATTTCCGGCATTAGAATAGTGACTAAATATGAAAAGTCTTACATTTTGGGATGTGTTTTGGAAAGATTTTCTTCAGCTATGATATAAATACAAGTTTCCTCTTTTATTAGTTGCTGTTGTGAACTCCTCTGTGACAGTGAATTATTCTTCAGCTAGCTATACAACTAGCACAGGAGTCGGAATTAGAACCCTCCCATGGCACTTATAGGAGCTAGACTGTAATATGTGTAACTGGGATACCCATTTATTGAATTAGTTTAATTTATTAAATTAAACTGGTCACAATAAAAGAATGTGAAACATGCAGTCGAAATCTACTCCTGAAAGATGAATCATTTTATAATCTGGCCCCCACAATGTAGTCAACTAGTTGATCAGCTGCACATTACTGTATTAGGTTGAGCAAAATCAGAACTTGCCTCTGACACATTCAGCATCGCCCAGAAATTACTTTTGTTCTGTGCATGCACAGATCAATGATAATTTTCCTACAAACAACAAAATGGTGAATGGCTAGGTAAACTGTTATCCGTTAAAAGCAGAGAATCCTCTGATTAGTGCCTTATGATCTTTTACATTCACTGGAGAAAGGAAAATGGCCATTGATTTCATCCAAAAGATGGTGCCTCCAACAGTGCAGCAGCCCCTCAGCAGTGCACTCAAATACCTTTAGGGGAGATGGTGGTGTAGTGGCAATGTCACCAGACCAATAGTCCAGAGGTCCAGGGTTATGCTTTGAGACTACAGGTTCCAAACCCAGTAGGACAGCTGGTATAATTAGAATAACATTTGGAAAATAAAGCAAGTACTGGTGACCATGCAACCATCACTGATGGTTATAAACTCAGCTGCTTCACTAATGCTGTTTGGGGAAGGAATTTGTTGTGCTAACCTGATCTGGTCTACATGTGAGATAACAAGGTGTAGAGGAAGGAAGGCTTCCAGCTCCCCTGATGCTGCTTGGCCTGCTGTGTTCATCCAGCTCTATACCTTGTTATCTCAGATTCTCCAGCATCTGAAGTTCCTACTATCTCTGGTCTACATGTGGCTCTGGGCCCAAAGCAATGTGGTTGCTTTCAGAAATTGCACCAAGCCATGCAATTCATGTGTATTTAGGAATGGACAACAAAGGATAACCATAAGACATAGGAGCAGAAATTAGGCCATTCGGCCCTCCGAGTCTGCTCCACCGTTCAATCATGGCTGATAAGTTCCTCAACCCCATTCTCCTGTTTTCTTCCCATTACCCTCGATCCCCTTGATAATCAAGAACCTATCTATCTCAGTCTTAAATGTACTCAATGTCCTGGCATCCACAGCTTTCTGTGGCAGTGAATTCCATAGATTCACCACTCTCTGGCTGAAGAAGTTTCTCCTTATCTCCGTTCTAAAAGGTCTTCCCTTTGCTCTAAGGCTGTGCCTTGGGTCCTAGACTCTCCTAGCAATGGAAGCTTTGTCTAGGCCATTCAATATTTTGAAAGTTTCAATTAGATCCCCCCTCATCCTTCTAACCTCCAATGAGGAGAGTCCCAAAGTCCTCAAACGTTCCTCATATGTTAAGCTTTCCATTCCTGGGACCATTCTTGTGAACCTCCTCTGAACCTGCTCCAGGGCCAATACATCCTTCCTGAGATATGGGGCCCAAAACTGCACACAATATTTCAAATGTGGCCTGACCAGCGCCTTATAAAGCCTCAGTAACCTTACCAGTTGACTCCCACATCCCATGATAGAATAAAGGGCTGCCTAGGTTATGTGATTAGAGGAGTTGGATTTGACAGCATCTTCTAACTCAGAGATGAAGATGTAAATCAGACTGAATCAGAAGGTTGTGGCTTCAAACCCACTCCAGAGACAAATGGATAAACAAATGACACATCAGCGCTGTTCAAAAGACAGCAACGGAGTTCTTCCAGTGGGGTCAACCACCAGTAAAACAGATGATCTGGTTATTTATTTCATTTTTGTTTTTAGTGGGGCCTTGCACAACTTGGCTGCCACTCTTCCTACACTACAACAGGGATTACAATTTAGAACTACCTTATTAGCTATAAAGTGCTTTGGAGGTCTTCAGTTTGTGACATACACTATAAAATTGTAAGTTATTTTTTCTAACTTCCATGGAACTAAAACTACTTTTCATTACAGGAGGATAGCGTAGTTGGTTCATTTGCCTGAAAACCTGGATTGCAGTTTGAAAGACTATTTAAACAAACACTTTTTGTAAAAGGAAACCATTAAGCTGGCTCTGAATCTGTTCATTTAAACTTGCCCTACCCAACAGAACCAAAGGGCTTTAGTAATTATGTCTTCAGATGTAAATATTCAATACAAAAACAGAAATTGCTGGTGAAACTCAGTGGGTCTGGCAGCATCTGTGTGAAGAAAGCAAAGTTAACTTTTGGATGTGGTGACCCTTCAACACAACTGATAGCAGCTGAGATAAAGTGGATTTATGCCAAAGATGAGGTTGGGTTGGTGTGGGGGGAAGAGGTGAGCGGATAGGTAGAGACAGAGCCCAGAGAGAGATATGAAAGGGGGAGGCAGACGAGGGGGGTTTATTTAGAGCAGGCTGGGGCAGAACAGGAGCTGTAGAAGTGAAAATTATTTTAGTGAATATTAAATACTTTTCCCACGATGAAATGGAAACTTGAATCAATGACAGATCCACATTCTTCTCTTCAAATTGGGGTAGCAATCTTTTCCAATAATCTGATTTGACCTAGAATTGGGTTTGGCTCCTTACACAACTTTATTTTTATAGATCCTACTGGAGGACCACATAGATCTCACAACCACAATCATGATGAGACTCATCAACTATAGTCTTGCCAAACAGCTTTATCAGGTGTAGTAGGAACTGCAGATGCTGGAGAATCCGAGA